TTTTAGAAGAGTCTTTCTGGGAGTGGGGTGAACCTTCACACCAAACAATTTCTGGAGAAATCCTACCATTGGATGATGACTTAACTCTTACTCCCGAAACTAACACTGATACAGGCACTGAATCGGAGCTGGAGATGGATACATCTGATACACAGAGAATTACCCATCAATTCCAAGTAAGTCCAACCAGAAATACATCTATTGGAGGAGCTAGAGAAACATCTATTGAGGCAGGAGAGGAACCAGAAAGAGACGGAAATATATTTGCACCGACTGATAGCTTATCAGCTGCCGATGAAAGCAAAAATGTGGATGTAACAAATCCTCCAGGTCCATCTAAAACTCAGGATGTCTCTAATACCCCAGAAGCTCCCCTGGAACCTAACCTTCGGAGGAGTTCACGCTTACGAAATCCAATCGAGCCTAGGTCTGATCGGCAGCCGAGGCCTCATGCTCTGCATGTAGGAAAAGGTAGCCCTATCCCTGGAAGCTTTCGGGATGCTTCAAATGGACCAGATAAAACTAAGTGGAAAGCCGCGATCGATGAAGAGCTTAAATCATTGAAAGAAAAAGAGGTATTTAAGCCCATAACTCACGTCCCTCGTGGAAAGAAGATCGTTGGCTCTAGATGGATCTTTACAGTTAAGTCTGATGGAAGATACAAAGCTCGCTTGGTTGCAAAGGGCTTTAGCCAGATCCATGGAATCAATTACTTCGACACATATTCCCCGACCTTGCGAATGGACTCTTTAAGGATACTTCTTGCCGTTAGCGCCTTCTACGATTGGGAAATTCATCAAATTGATGTTAGGACAGCCTATCTTGAAGGAGACTTAGAGGAGGATGTGTACATGAAATGTCCGGAGGGAATTCAAGGCACTAACTATGTCAAGGTCGATAAAGCCCTATACGGATTAAAACAGTCTGGACGGGCATGGTACAAGAAACTGGACGCAAAACTTTCTTCGATAAAGTTCAAGAGATCAGTAAGTGACCAATGTATTTACATACATCCGGAACTACAGATAGTAATTGGCGTGTACGTTGACAATCTTGTCGTGTGTGGTAAGGTTCTCAGTCAAGTTGTCAGGGCAAAACAACAGCTCTCGTCGTATTTCCCGATCAAAGACTTAGGGGAACTAGATGTTATCATCGGCTGGAAAATCACTCGAGAAAGATCAACAAGGACACTACAAATCTCCCAAGCTCATTACATAGCTGAAAAGATAGAATCCTTCGGTCTACAGCAGGCGAGGGAATACACTTCTCCTCTGGATGGCTACGATGGGATTCTACCAGGCCGTGAGGATGAGTCCCCTGCAGATGAATCAGCTTACGCCAGTGCGGTTAGAAGCTTAGGGTATGCGTCACACAGCACCAGACCAGACATATCTTTCGCAGTCTCACAATTAGGAAGATATAATTCCTGCCCTGTGATAAGACATTGGAACACTGTTTGTAGGGTGTTCAGATATCTCAAAGGTTCTTCCGACTTCTCTATAACCTATTGTTTTGGTCCTTCCTCACCCGAAAATCTTAAATCACACGAAGTACTCATGTATTCTGATTCTGATTACGCTGGGGATATTGTAACACGTCGCTCAGTCAGTGGCTATGTCGTGATGCTTGGAGGTGGTCCTATATGCTGGCAGTCGAAGCAACAAAAGTCAGTTTCTACCTCAACAGCTGAAGCAGAATATATCGCCCTGTCAGAGGCAGCCAAACAAGCTGTGTGGGTGATTTGTCTTCTTAGGGAACTTCACGTTGGAAATGCACTTATGAGCGATGATGGTCTATTAACTCTAAGTGATAATCAGAGTGCACTGTCAATTGCCGGAGGAACAAACTCTGCTAAGACCAAACACATCGACGTCGCATACCATTTTATTAGGGAATGTATTGAAGATTAAAAGATCAGAGTAAAGTATACTCCCACTAACATGATGTTGGCCGTTTTATTGACCAAACCACTGCCTCAATCGAAGGCAAAGCCTTTGTGCTGTCAATTGTTCCAGCTTGTGTATATTTATCTGGCAAACTAACTGCTCAGGAGGAGTGTTGGAATTTCGCACCAGTTGCTTACTCTAGAGCTACACAATTGTCGGTGATGATTGGCAAGGCTGCTTAGGAATAACTTGGCGCACAATTGCACTAGAATGAAATTGGTTTTAGCGTCAGACAAAGAACACGAGTAATATGTAGAAACCTAGATGTAGTATTCTTCAATATTCCGACCAAAAAAAAAAAAATATGATATAATATAATAAGAACGATTTACGTGAATAATTTATTTGATTGAACTACTACAAAGTACTTTGAAGCTGTGCCTATATTCTTTGAGTGAGTTTCCTCTTAGAACCCATACACACTTTACAACACAACAGCTTTGAGCTTATCAGCTTGTCCTTTCTGTGACATCACAATAGTTTCGCCCTTAATTTGTAGACGGCAGCCATTGAAGTCAGCTACAGAGCCGTCGGCAAGGAAAGTTTTTGGCTTGGCCAGGAGCTTTGCATTCTTTAGTTCTTCCTCCTCTGTAGCCATGAATCCGGCAGTGCCAACAAGCAGCGTATCGTCTGTCTGCATACTATCTATGCCAAAGTTCTTACTGGTATTGGTGACTAGAAGGCGAGGATCAAATACCGAAGTTAAATTGTCTAATTTTTCCTTGTGATGGTTCTGATAGGTAACAAACCAGTGGGCTCCAGACTCTGGCATACCATATAGAGGCCAGACAACGCGGAATATAGTACCTTCGGGGTACTTTTCTTTTAGCTCTGAAGGGAGGCGGGCAAAGATATCACGGGCAAGAGGCGTTTTAGACTGAGTGTACGCCTGTGTGATATCACAAATAGCGAAAATCATGCCTCTTTTAAGCAGGGTTGGAGCAACAGCAAGGATCAGTCTTTGGCTGCAACGCTGAATAGTCGGAGACTGGGTTAGGACAAATTGTTTTTCATGATTGTTGTATCCCTGCACAAAAAGACGGGATTTTTCATACAGATGTGTAGTTGTCTTATCCTTGATTTTGCGCACCATACATAACCCAAAAATTCGGCAGCTGTTTGGGATTTTATTGCTAGGAGTAGGTACTGATACACCGCGGGCTAGGAGGCTATCAATTTCAGCAATATCACTGAGCTCGAATAGAGCCCCAGCAGTATTGATCTTGCCATCAGCACGGAGACGGATAGCAAGTTCTCTATTGCTATGCTCTTTGTGGGTTATGAATTGCTGCTTGAATGACGTAGTGTCAACCATAGTTATGATGAATAAGTCGGTATCTGGAGTAGTATCATTATCAGAATCACTGTCATAAATGGGCTGTTGGATACAACTGCGCGGACGAAGACGCTTGGCGATTGGCTGATCGGACTGCAATTTAGGTTCCTTGGAGTGTTACTTATCATTTAACGTTACTTTGCGTGTACGACAAATTGCATTTCTTAAAGAAATATTGGTTGGCCGGGCTTTTGACTGTTTTTCGTGACGTTTTGCCACAACATCATTAGGAATAGTAGGGGGTGTTGGAATATTAGCGGGTCGGCCACGCGGGCGAGGAAGTTCTATAGGCGGGTATTCAAATGGCTCTAGACCAGATGAAATGGCAATAGCTGGGTTATGGGGATTGTATGGCTTGACGAAATTGACGCGAAATTCAGAGCAATTGGTGCCTCGCTGGACAGTGACATTGATTCTATCTGTGCTTAACATGGTGTAGGGACCAACCCATCTCTTTTTAGCGCCACAGTAGACAATAACTTTGCTGCCAATTGGGATAGAAAGTGGTTGCATGTCAGATGTGTCCTGCGCATTGCGAGTATTGAGTGCACGGTTGACTAGGTGCTTGGCGTTGATCTTATTTAGCTCCTTCATCGCTTTACTTATTGCTTCGGCCCGCTGCATTGTTAGTGCGGACGGAGGGGAATCCATTTTTAGACGTGGCATAGCACCAAACACAAGAAGAGTTGGGACCAAACCATTCAGGCCAACACTGTCATTTATACATTTAAAGGACATCTGCAATGCGGCTTCTGGGAAATGGCTGTACCCAACTCGGCGCAGATCATGCAATAGACTGTGCGCAAGGGCCCATGGTATTGCTCGACCTTACCAATTGAATGATGTGCTTCGGTGGGAACTTCGACAACAGTGATACCCATGAGCCGTGCCTCAGCACGAAACTCCTCTGCACTAAACTGCGTGCCTGCGTCTGTGGCGAGAATGTCAGGAGGACCAAGATATGTGTCAATCCAACATTCTCGGAGGCGTTCCCACGCTTCTTTGGCAGTTATGTTCTTCAGAAAACGGCCAGATTGAAAAGCAGTTGCCGTGTCAATAGTATATGATACTGCTTCGCCGTCCAAATCAAGAATATAAACGATAATTTTGTGGTTGAAAGCAATGTCATTGTGGAGAGTGAATCGAAAGCGACGGGGTGTAGCACCCTTCATCTGGCAGTGGTGACAAAACTTGGCGATGATTTCAAGGGCTTCAGTGTTAGCTTCCTCACTAGCACGGCTAAGAATATTGCACATTTGTTGCACTGTTGGATGGCCAAATTGTCGATGAAGGCGTTGTAGCTCAGGGACAGTCAGGAATAATGACGCATGTTCAAGATCTGAGATCATGAACCATGGATGGCCCCACTTTTGCACGAAGGGGATCTCCTTATAGCTTGGACTACGCTGGACGAGGAGATTGCGCGTGTTGTTGAGATGGGTGTCAAGACGGTCCATGTCCTTGAGGCTAAGCAGGAATGGCGTTGGCGTGTGCATGACGTAGAGCTTTATGGTACCAATTGGTGTTATAGTTTCGACAGACCCGAGTGATGAAATTGCATCACCATTACCGAAACAAACTTTTACCTTGTTATCTTCCTTTTTCAGCTGTAGTTCTAGATGCTCTCGCTGCAAGGCCTGAAACTGAGAAAATCCCGCTGTTGATGTCTGTGCGGCGCCGGTATCAGGCATTATTCCCTGAAAGCGTTTGTTAGAGTATCAATCAAGAACAAATTGTTCGGTAGGAACTGGTGAATTGGACTCAAGTGATGGCGGTATGTAGTCTGTGAGACGGTAGCGCGCAGATTCGTTGATGAGAAAAGAGGCGGCACTCATAAACAAGTCGTTTTCGCTGTTCTCATCTTCACTAAAATTGTCAACAGCATTTTTATGAGCTATAGTATCTGAGCTCTCCAGGGGTAATCCTTCAAAATCCAGCAAAAATTGCGGGTAGGGCTTCATTGTTCGACTGAAGCGGTGGTCATCATTGTATTTGCGGCAATGTTCAGCCTGCTCGTGTTGAGGATGATCGAGGGCAAAGTGACCTTGCTTACCACAAATGTAGCATTTCTCATTGTTACTGTGCTGGCAACAACTACTTTTATAGCTTTGCTTGTAATCATTATTGCGAAATCGGTGGATGTTGTTTCTATTCTGACCACGAGGAAGGCAATTAGAATTATACTTTCGATTGTTATAATTAATATCTGGTGCGTCATTGGTCTGATCAACAACAAAGTGGCTTACAGAGGGTTGCATTGCCTGGAATAGTGCATTTTGTAGATCATTACATAGTTGCTCATATCGCATTGTGGGTTTGAATGTTGCAGGCTTTAGTTCAGCCACGCCTTGCACTGCTCGCAGTGTTGCAGCAATCAGCTGTTGTTCACCAAAGTACGAGCTACCTAGAGCCCGTTGACAAAGTTTCAAACAATTGAGCAAGAAGTCCAAGACACCAGGAAGATCTTTTTGCAAACATTCTTTGTCATTCCTAGCCGAATGAAAAGTGATTGAAATCCAGTCATTGTGGTAGCAAGAGTGATTAATGCTTGTGTCAAAATGACTTTTCAGTATCAGGTACATATTGCAAAACTTGGCAGAATTGCTAAGGGAATACAACGACCATTTCTGCGCCGCACCCAATAACGTCATTCGGAATATAGCATGCAGTTGCAATGGAGCTATGTCAATTTGGGAACAAGTGAGTTGAAACTGGCGCACAGTGTTGTCTAAAATGTTGTAAGCTGCGCCCGTGAAGTTGTATTCCTTATTCCAGATTTTGCTAAATGTCTCAATCTTCCGAGAATCCAGTGGCTCATTATTGTCCTCTGGAATGACCAGATGGTTAGGGTTAAGCGGGTCTAGTAGGTGACTAGCAATAGGAACTTGATCAACAAACAACGGAGCAACACTGAGATAATGCAATGGCCTTTGGATACGCTGTGAACATGGGGGATATTGAGGTTCCCCCTGTGGGATTGGGGCGGTACGTGTTGTCATGAATGCGCTTTTCACGTTAGTAGTAAATTGTCATCCACGTAGTGTAGCATGCAGAGCCAGGGAAATGGAAACAGGTTAGTGATAAATTAGATACCGCCAATTGCTACACTCACCCGTAGATCACTCCTAAAAGAGACTAGCTACGGCGCTATCTGGAAGTATGTGGGATTGGCTAATTATCATGAACATAACCTGTAACATTACATAACATATGTTAAAAAGAAGCACCCTACTGTGTAATTATCACTGACAGAGTACTAATGTGCAAGGGAAGCAAGAAGGTAGGTTCAATAGGGTTTTAGATTAACTGGCTCTAGAATCTAACGGGAGTAAGTCTTCTATTAGTACCACACTCAATCTCGCTTCCACGCGACCAACATGGCTAGCCTCATACATCAAGAGTGTGTTATCCCTGCTACGCACTGACACATTTACAATACTCCCCCTCAGTGTGAGCAGTCTTCCGCTACCAACATCTATCCCTCTCAAACATTCCTTTCAGTACGATCAATCTGTGGCGACACCAAGGAATCCTCTAAAGCGTTCGAACGCGACGCGGGCAAGCGGCTTTGTAAATCCGTCGGCAGGCATTTCTGAAGTGGGTACATATTCGACACCGAGTTTCCCCTTTTCGACGAGGTCTCTGATATAGTGATAGCACACGTCAATATGCTTCGACCTCTCGTGAAGGTGAGGATTCTTGGTCAGTGCAATAGCTCCTTGGTTGTCCCCGCGCATATCTACCTTTATGCCATCTGTACCAATGTAGTCTGGCATCTGTAGGTCTCGGAAGACTTGTGCTGTCCACTGTCCTTGCATTGCATACATAGATTGAGATATGTACTCCGACTCGCAACTTGATCGTGCTACTGACCGTTGCTTTTTCGACATCCAGCAAAATGGTCCTCCATAGAACATTCCAACTCCCCCAGAAACGCTTTTCCTATCTGATTTGTCATTTGCCCAATCTGCATCGGTGTAGATGACAAAGTGGCTATCATGATCTCTTATTCCGGGTCCGAACCTTAATTTTTGTCGAATAATGGAGCGTAGGTATCTCATCAGGTCTTTGAGGGCTTGGCCATGATGGACCGCAGGGTTACTCATATACCTAGCTAGACATCCAAGGACAAATGCGATATCCGGACGTGTAAGCGTCATCGCATACATCAAGCTGCCAATTATCTGCTGGTAAAGCTTAACATCAAACGTTTCATCTGACGGTGATGTTGGTCTGAGATTTTCGTAATCAGCTGCTGGTATTTTCTTTGCTGCGTATTTTCCATTCGGAAACCCAAAACTTGTGAGCGTCTTATCAAGGTACTGTTCTTGGTCTAAATAGATGGTTCCGTTTTGTCGATCTCTTGTTATTCTGATGCCTAGAAGCTTTGAAATCTCCCCCAGGTTCTTGGCGTTGAATCTCAGTGACAGATTTTTGTAGAACCAATCAATCTGTTTCATATCTTCGCTAGCAGCAGCAATGTCGTCGACATAAACCAATAAGTAAATCTTTCTTTTTTCGTGAGCAAATAAACATGGATCAGCAAGGCTCTGCTTAAAACCACAATTGTGTACAATGAAGTCACGCAGTAACAAATTCCAGTCGCGTCCAGCTTGCTTTAACCCATAAAGGCTTCTAAGTGCTTTCAGAACTTTCCCATTCGAAACTAATACACCCTCTGGAGGGCAAAGGAATATTTCTTCTTTTAATTTAGACTCAGTAAAAGCATTTTTAATATCAAATTGGTAGCATTCTAAATCTCTTTTGGCTACTGTGGCGAGGAATATGCGAAATGTATCCATTCGAACAGTCGGCGCGAATGTTTCCGTGTAGTCAATTCCCTGCGATTGGCTAAAACCTCTTGCTACCAGTCTTGCTTTAAATCTTTCAATATTTCTGTTAACAGTCTCCTTTATGGTAAAAACCCATTTTGTTGAAACCAGATTTGCGCCTTTTGGTAATAACATTTCTTCCCAAGTACCATTCATTATTAGCTGGTCTATTTCCATTTTTACAGCTTCTTCCCATTCTTTTGCCTGGGGACTTCTCATGGCTTCCTTGTATGTCCTTGGGATCCTTATACCATGGATTATCTTAGCTTGCAGTGCGTAGTCTTCATCATTTTCCGGAATTTGGCAAAATAGAGCGTACAATCCTTTGAAAATTCCTTTTCGAACCCTTTTCCCATATATTTGAGGCTGTGTCATTACTGCAAGCGCATGCTCAAGCTGGTCTGAATTTACGAGCTTATTCCTCTGGTTTTTGAAGAAGGATATCATTGCCCTAATGCGCTTTGCCTGACGCTCATCTTCATCACCATTTCCAGATCTTTTCCTTGGTCTAAACAAATACCTGGAGGTGGGTATCACGACTTTCTTGTCGTTATTTTCCCTTTCAATTCCTGTATAATCCTCCTTTTTTTTTTTTTGTTGTCAAATAGTCATCTTCCCATTCTGAATCAATGTCCATGGTTGTTTGAATTTCTACCTGCTTCGATAGAAGTTGTGTGGTCACCTCTGCCTCATTAATTTCAGATGATTCTAAAGGAGGTGATTCGTTATTAGTAGATGGCTGAGTGTTAAAATCTTCGCAGACTATGTCTGATTCGTGATTTTCCTTCGGATTCTCTGTTATTTTCAGTTCATCGACTTTCCGGCTTCGTTTTTCTTTTCCATGGGCCTTGTCCTTACTTTTCTTTTTCTTTTCTGCGGAGGATTTCTTTTCTTTTCGACGTTTTTCATCTGCAGAAGTAGTAACTTGTATCGAACTAGTCGCATTCTCAGGGGCAACAGTTACTTTACTTTTCCCATCGACTGCTTTGTCATTTTTTATGATTTCCGATGGTTCCGCTATCGTTGGGAGTTCAAACGTGATTATATCTCCTGAAATTTTAATTGCATTTTCTACTTGTTCTTGTTGGATAGCTGGAAGTTTTGGTGATGGCGCTATCTGTGGTGCATCGACCAGTTCTATATCCTGTGTAGAAGGTTGCTCGACATTTAGTTGTTGGCTTTCAATTTGCTCGTTTGGAGACGAATGACTAGTCAATTGTTGTTGATTATCGTCGGAAAATTTCTTTGGTCTACCGCGAGGCTTTCGATCAATTAAGCCCGTGTGTGTCCCCTGCCCAGTAACCTGGCTAGGTAAATTTCTGAGTCTCAAGTCTAATCTGCCACCTTTAGAATTTTCATCGAACTCAATTGAACTTGATCTTTGAACATAACCTAAGTCTGCCGAGTAATACCAATACTGCTTTGTAGTTTCATTACTATACCCCAAAAAAACTGCTTGTCTTCCTCTGTTAGCTTGTTTATTATGAAGTTGCTTCACTGGGATTGTCTTTGAGTCTACATGTACGTAGCAAATACACCCCCAGACTTTTAGATGGTCTGATTTTTGCTTTATCCCAGTGTATGCTTCCTCTGGAGATGTCCTTTTTCCATTAATTTTGGGGCCACGTGCTAGTCTATTTCGTACATGGGCATCAGTTTCTGCAGCAAAACACCAAAATTCTGCAGGAAGGCTAGCAGCGTGAGTCATTGTTCTTATCGCATTTTCCGTTGTTTGAATGGCTCGTTCAGCTGCCCCGTTTTGGTGTGAAGAAGCAATCGTGGTGTACTGGGCACTTACACCGTCCTTTTTCTGCCATTCGTCCATGATCTTCTTCAATTCCGGTGCATTGTCTGACCTGCATGCGATTAGTTTTTTGCCTGTCTTTCTTTCCTCTAAAAGTTTCCATTCGCGCAGCGCCGAGATTGCCTGATCTTTCGTTTTCAGAGGAATGGTCCAGATCTTCCGTGAGTAGCTATCGACTATCTGTAAGAAGTACTCAAATCCACGAATAGACATCACAAACGGACCCGCAATGTCAATGGAGATTTGGGCGAGAACTTTATCTTTATGTACCTCAAGTTCTTTGCTTATCTTTCTCTTCATCTTACCTATTTTACAAGATTCGCAGATCCGTTTCTCTTTCTCAGGGATGGAAATCTTTTTGATTCCGCTCTCTACTTCGTGAAGGTGACGTAAAGCCTCGGATCCGTAATGGCCAAATCTTCTATGTATTAGTCTATATCTTTTCCTTTTAGACTTATAAGCCTCATCATGTTCCGATATATCCGGATCTTCATCTGTACTTTCCACCTGAGTATTAGTATCTACTGAGGATTTGACAGATTTACTTTCGTTTGAAATGAAAGCTGGCTCGGGAGTTTCTGAGAATATGGACTTTAGCATGTATAAGCCATTCTTTTGCTTTGCGTGCAGAAAAGTTTTATGATCATTTCTGAATTGAAGGAACTCATCAAGTTTCTTAAAATACATGTTCTTGGAGTCGTGTATCCCAACAATACCATCTCGGCACAAACATCGAGCTGAAATTAAATTTATCCCAAGTCCAGGGACGAACAAACAATCCTTAAGATAGCAGAAAGATCCATCATTTGCCTCGACTCTAACAGTCCCACGAGCTTCTGACCATAGTATGCCTCCTCCTACCTGGATTTGGCGTTTCTTTTTGAGCTTTTCTAATGGTCCTCTAAAAAGCTTGAGTTGGTCAGTCATGTGTGATGATGCGCCAGTGTCAATTGGCCATTCTGAAGGTCGCTTACATGAATTTCTTTTTTGCTCTTTTGTGAGGGCAGCTGTCTCCACGACTGATTCATCTGATGAGCTAGAGGAGCATGTTTCCGAGGATGATGATGATTCATCGACATTTGTACCTACAAACCCGCGAGATTTTTTGGAGCTTTTCTTCTTTGAGTCAACATGAGTCCTTCTAGAACTAGACAGCTTCTTTTTCTCTCTTTTTTCTTTTCTCAATTGGTTTTGTGCCCACCCAAGGTGTTCACAATTGACGATGAGATGATTCCCAAAGCAGAGATAGCACTCTATGGCATCAATCATCTCGACGTCGGAATCTTGGTTCTGATTCTGTTTTGGGCGACGACTCTTTGTCGTACGAGTCCGTGCAGCATGAGCGTGCTCATTGTCGGGAGCAAATCTCAGCCTTTCTTCCTTGTTCTCGAGATGTTTCAGCTGTTCATCGACAGAAAGCTCATTGTTGATGCTTAGAGAATTGACCGTCGACTGGTAAACTTTTGGAAGGGCAGAGATGAGGATGAGTAGTAGAGCCTCGTCATCGTACTGGCCTTTTGCTGATGGCTTGGCGGAGACAATTTTTCTTCTGATCTCTTTAAGTTTGTTGTAGGCATCCATTATTGTAAGCCCAGATGTGAACTCGAAATTGTTCAGCTCTTTGGTGTACTGCGCGGCTGCAAGCTTACTAGGCTTTGAGTACTTTGACTTTAGATACTTCCAAAGTTCTGCCGGAGTCTCATACTCATCCAGAAGCGCTTGGTCGTCATTGTCTAACCCCTTTAGAAGCAACACCTTTATTATTCCAGCGTCTTTCAAATACTTTGACTTCTTCTCTATGTTCAAGAAGATGGTTTTGCTCTGTGATTTTTGTGCCACTTCCTCGACATCGGCCCTCTTTGAAATTGACGGGTCTGGCGCAGCAACTTGGGCGTATTCGGTCAGAGTCTTTTCTAGAACGTGAGTGACTCCCTTGCATTCAAAGTTTGCTTTCATTAGCCTGAACCAATTTTCATGGTTAAGCTTGGAGAGTTTTTCTCCCCCCCAATGGCCGGCGTCTTCCATCATGATGTGTTGCGTTAGACGATTTGTGTCGGATCGTCTGTGTTAGTTTGTGAATTCGAGTCGTATTTGTTGAAGTCCCGACGTTGCCGAGTGATGAATTGTAAAATAAAATTGGCCCCCGGCCAAGGTTGAACGCTCAGAAATTCCGTTTACGTTCCTATTGTAAGACGGTATTCTAGCACGAATCCTTTCGTGCAGCTTTTCGGCTTTCAGTACAGTCCTGTCGTACTTCACGGTCCTATTGTGCGCCGATAGTGAGTGAGTTGAATAACCTATGACCTATGGCGTAAACCGGACTTCATAACCTGTTAAAAAGAAGCACCCTACTGTGTAATTATCACCGACAGAGTACTAATGTGCAAGGGAAGCAAGAAGGTAGGTTCAATAGGGTTTTAGATTAACTGGCTCTAGAATCTAACGGGAGTAAGTCTTCTATTAGTACCACACTCAATCTCGCTTCCACGCGACCAACATGGCTAGCCTCATACATCAAGAGTGTGTTATCCCTGCTACGCACTGACACATTTACAATAACATATAACACAATAAGATACCATTTGCATCCAGTAACATTTATTGCTATAATCACCCAAGTATATTCTAAGCCCCCTGAGTAGTCACTGTCACAGACCAGTTTGTGATATTGTATTGCACCTGGCCAACCGCCCCATGAATACACTCAGGAATAGGGTTAGTGCGTTGCGATGGTTACAGTGTTGTGATAGCAACAGTCACTAGTCAAGATACTGATCAGTTGCTATGTAACAGCTGTGGGCTATTGCACCCTTGATTGTAGTGACCGGTCTCAGGTACTTAAGGAAGCTCTTGGGATGTATTCGTACTGTAGCTTTTTGTCTTGTATTTTATCTACATCTTAGAATCTCGCCTCTGTCCTAGTCTCTGTCCTCGTCTACATCTCGTCCTCGTCTCAATCTCCGCCCCAATCCCTCTCCTTATAAGTCTCCTGTCCTCCGACCCCTGACAGTCACAACCATTTAATTGAAGATACCAAGTTTATACAATCATATACATCACCACCCTTAAATACGTGTGTTAGTAGGAGTTCGTAAAATATCATTGACGTCGTCATGATGGGTTTGGATTGCAATGTCGCCATTATTCCTTAAGGGCGCTCTAGTGTTGGGGAAGGTAGACTTGGGAGGTTCGGCGGAACGAAGTGTGCTGATATGTGGGGTTTCAATTACTTCAGACTTGACTGTCGGGTATCGAGCATGAAGCTCACCTTGTGCATTATCTGTGAAATAGTGCCAGCTATGGCTAAGTTCAGTGATAGGCCATAGGGGAAGCTGATCACATTTGACCATATTTGCAAAAATAGCTGCGTATTTTGCGTTTCGAACACCACAATAAATGCCATGACGTACGAGAACATCTTTTAGTTTAGACAAGGTGATGGAATGTAGTGTAGGACAAGCCAATGGTGTAAAGTCTTCTTCTAACCATCCATCAAAGTCTAGACGAAATTCACTCCAAATAGATTCTGAAGTGCCAGAGAAGTATGCCATGTAGTTGGCAACTCGATCAAGAAGAAATGCAGCTCGCTGCCCGACGGTTGGCTCGGAAGAAAGGGGGTTGTCGAATTGGTCTTGATCAATGTGCCTGCGGCGGCTAGGATGAGCCCCGGTGGTTTCCCAGATCCACGCAATGTATTCTTTTGTAGCAGCGTCATCATATTCTAGATTGCGTGAGGGTGCTTTTCCGCCGGCTCTTGAGCTCGATGCCATAGTGATTGCGTACAATTGAACAGATGATTAGTAAAGAAAGAAAGAGAGTAATTGATGCAATGTAACTTGATTGCACTACTTAAATGTCGATAATCGTTAAACGCTGTAAAGTATAAAATTGAAGGGGTATTGCTTGGTGATTGAAAGATTCAATAATCAATGGAGGTTTAGGAAAACGCGATGGGGGCGCGCCGTGCAAATGTAGTTGACTCGGCCAATTCGGCCTATGCCTCATACAACGACGGTATAGAACTCTTGATGTTGACTTCAGCTTATCTGACTTGATCGTGATCAATTGCTCTGCTGTAGCAGTTGGATTGCAGTCCTGACTTTGCGGTAAAGACAACTCTACAAACAACTCTCTTCTAATAGGTAAATCTTGCTATTTACAGTGAGCCAAGTAGTTGGTTCACCACTAATTAGTGTTGGTAAAACTACCAGGTTCTTGGATTCGAATCCGAAGGGAAAGGTAATCAGTAGAATGTATTGTATTGTATCTATCTATCCGAAGTTTTCTGTGTGGCAGCTTTTGCTAAGAAATATTTTGAGTGTGCACGGGCCTCCACAAACCCTTACTCGATCTTGCCTAATTTACAATTATCATATCATACACCCCATTACAATCACATGCCTATAGCTAATTCCCAACAAATTACCATGGTGTTAATGGTTGGGACAGATAATCACAATGTTGATTTTATCAAGGTGTTGGCTCCTGAATTGACCCTATCAGACTTGATAATTCGGGCTTATAAAACTAACCAGACAGCCCTATCTATGGTAGAATCCCTATAATCTCCGTCTCAAAGGTTCTGGCCGGTTTCCATTTCTTGCCTGCTTCGAAAGGATAAAATTGAGTTTAAATTAATTGATGGACTAATCTACTTCCGAAATCGACTCTTTATCCCTGATCTGGAAGATTTACAACTTGAAATTGTTTATTGCACACATTCATCCGGCCCTGCAGGCTACCCTGGTCGCATTACAACGCTAGATCTAGTCCAACGCACATACTGGTGGCCCTGCATGACTCAATTTGTGGCTAATTTTGTGAGAGGATGTGATCTCTGTTTCCGAACAAAAACACCCCGCGCTTTGCCGCCCAGTTTCTTAAAACCCCTAGAAATTCCTCTTTGCATGTGGGCCGAAATTTCTATTGATCATGTTGTAAATCTTCCGCCATGTAAATGTTGTTTTACTTGGTATATGAAATGGGAATGTACACTTGCGCTGGAACAGCTAAGACAGTATGTGGAGAGATGTCTTCATTAATGTGCAGAAGTGAAGTTCTATGATAATTGTTATGTTAAAGATTGGGGGAAGCTCGTCCCTTATCCCCTAGCTTGTTCCCTTGTAGACCAATAATGTTACCAGTATGCAGCTCACCAAAGTGTGCAACCAACTGAGCAGCCATGCCATTTATCCTATATCAACAACCCATCTCTCATACTGCACACATTACTACTTGTAATGTCGTTATGTAGAGACTGGATCTACTCCATGCACCATGATGCCATGCTGCCATAATAACTACCTATGCACCAGCTACTAGATCTACCATACTACATAGCTGAGCATAACAAATGTATCTCCATATTCTCGTAATTGTAGACTGACTTTCGAAGATGTGACATTTTATTCCTGTTGTCACGGATCAAGGAACAGGCGCTGGTGCAACCATGTGGTCGATAGTATATAAATTATCATTCTGAAGAGAAAACTACTTCAGTCTCTATCTATACACATATATACATTGTCTATGTGTTCGAGGCACAGTCCTTCTGTCTCGGTTCCAATGGTATTCTTCACATGTGTTGATCCTATTGAAAGGCTATGCTGAGCTGGAATGACGTACCGTTAGGATGAAGGTATGGAAGGAGGTAGCTATGGCTTTAAGAGAAGTAAAGATTGTGAGTTATACTCTTAGGACTTGGATTGATGGACGAACTTGAGGATATTCCCTAGTATTCTCAAGTGTGTAAATAATATGGAGATTGTTTGAATTTCCTATTGTATGAATTGCTTAATTTAACTACGTGACAGGACCTTCTTCTATATATATGAATAAGGGGGTTCTGCACACTAGTGGATGTTCCAACATCTGTCCTTGTCTAACCGAGAAAGGAAGGATGTGAGAGATCCTAGCGCCAATAGATACCATTAGGAATCTATTGGGAAATACTATGTCATACCAATGAGTGATGATTTAGGTCAATCATATCCCATGGCGCACGTGCACATTATTCCAATGTGAACAGTTTATTGTAATGCAGTCATGTTACTCCCTTAATTACAACAGATCCTAGTTATCATAACATCTCAATGTGTTGTAGCTGTATGGTTCAATACTGCTGCCCTGCCAAACTAGATGCCAACGCCTTGATATTCTGTTGAGTGGCATCATATATCCGCGCATTGATGTCGATCAACTGTTTGCTACCAATGTCAGGCTAGGCTCATGTTGGCCAACATGCGCTATAGGGACCAATCGGCTTACCAGCCGTTACACCTGTTACATCTCTAGACGCAACTGAGCTCGTTGAGTGCTTTATCCAGAGTGTATACAAGCTTCATGGTGCACCGGACTCTATTATATCTGATCGTGGCTCAGCTTTTGTTTCTGAATTTTGGCGCAGGCTAAATAAACGTCTCTCTGTAGCACTCAAACCTAGCTCGGCATTTCACCCCCAGACTGATGGCCAAACTGAAATTGTAAACTCCGCCTTGAACCAATATCTCCGAGCCTTTCCAAATTTTACACAGGACAATTGGGTTGATTGGCTTCCTCTGTCAGAATTTGCCTCTAACAATCAGACCAGTGAAACCACAGGCGTTTCCATGTTTTACGCCAACTACGGATAAAATCTTCGCCTTGGAATAGAGCCTCCGGATCCTCGGCCCCCAAATTTAACTAAGAGTATCAAAAAGGAATACTTGCGAGCCAATGTAATAGCTGAAAGATTTGGTTGTATACTTGCAAAGCTTAATGCTCTTACTAGACAATCACGAGACTGTTATGAAAACAATGCAAATACCCGACGCTCAGAATCGCCAATTTATCAACCTGGAGACAAAGTGATGATTAGTTTGAAGAACTTGAAGACTAATTGACCAAATAAAAAGTGGGACGACAAATGGGACGGACCTTATCAAGTTCTTAGAGTATATAACGGCGCAGTGATTGTTGATTTGCCAGACCACATACATGTTAATAAAAGTTTTCACACTTCATTAGTAAGGTCATGGAAGAATCCTATACTTCACAGCCAAACGGTTATTAACAGCTTTGAAAAGCGAAATGTTGTAGGTCGAGTTGCCGAGAGGGATGATGATGGTAACATTATGGATAAATGGGTATTTGAAAAAATATTAAACGTGCATGCTGATGATAGTGAGAAATTAGGTCTTACATATCTTATGAAATGGAAGTACAACAACGAGCCTACCTGGTAGCCTCAGGCTGATCTAAAGGGTTGCGAAAAAGCTCTCCAAGAATTCCATGTCAAGAATCCGGACAAGCCAGGACCCCCGCACAAATTAGATATGCCATTGATACTTGAAGCTAGAAGGAAGCCTTCACTACAGCGTTCCAATAGATTACAACACCTTAAACTGAAGATTTTTAAATAAATTAAATATGTGTGTTTGGAGACCAAAGTTTGTGGAGGGGGAGGTACTGTCACAGTAGTAGGATGGTAGTTGGCATGATTTAAGGTTTAGCAATAACTGAGTGTCTCAAGACCTTCGTGTAGCTAGATATTCTCTTCCCTTCTCATTGCACAACTCATTTATAATATTTACCTCGTTCTTTGTACCCTCGCCCTATGAAAGGTTGCGAGGTTGTAATATTTCAAGTATCTAGAAATACTTCATCACCCGCTCTGTAGGCTGGTGCTGGCAAACGATTTGCACTTGAAGCTTTTTCCTTTCTTTCTCTGGCCCGTGCGAGGTTTGAGCGTAGAAAGTCCAATATTACGGACATTTTGGATGTGTGATGGAAACCGAGTTGGTGATGAATAAATCAATTTAATAAACTATATGAGGAGAAAAGCTAACTCTAGCTACTACTAACAGGTATTTATAGGAGTTAATCCTCCTCGTGAATCTACAGACTAGTGACTTGTCCTTAGGCACAATACTTCTTACCCAGCCACGTATTTCTAGGTGTCACTAAGTTGTAACAACGCTTCAGCCTCCTGAGTAGTAGTCCCGTTAATTGAAATTAGTTCCGGAGATTGGAAGAATTACACACTAGCCTCAAGTTTGATTAAGAGATACGATAAATTTGTTTACTATACAAAGAAGTTTACTGATATTTAATGGATAGTTAATTGTGATTAAATTGCTGTAATTCTATATGTGTGGCAAGAAGTCCCTCTATATACATGAAGCGGGGTTTTCCGCACACTAGTGTGAACTCCAACATACTCCCTAATCTAACCTCAACGGGAAGGTTGTTGGAGATCCTGAAGCCAATGTATGCTGTCAGGCATCTATTGGCTAATTACTATTCATGCCAGTGAGTGATGATATGGGTTAATCATATCTCATGGCGCCAGTGCATATTATTCTAATATGTACTATTTGTCTACTGCAGTCATGTTGCTGCCTTAATTACAACACCGTTTCGTTTAGCTTCATCTCCCCCCATACAGCCTCTTTGTAAGAATTCTTATTATCAGGGTTAGGTATCCACCTGAGCTCAAACAACAGTCAAACCATAACATTACCCCCCTGTTTACCCTCTGATTTTCTCTTTCCTTAATGCTGGCCCATTATTTGTCTCTACAGAACCCCACTTTTTCTCCCAAACGTCCAGAGCTGCAGCATCTTGCAAATTTATCAGTGATATCCACTCTGGCTGTGCCATTCCAGTTCACTTCACTAAAGCCTGTCGCTCACCCTTTTTTGTTCTGCACCTAAGCACTTTGTCAATCTGGTACTCTTCTTTGCCATCATCACTAGTGATTTGTCCTGGGCTTTCATCTTCTAGTATTTGT